GCATTAACTGAAGAAATTTGTTATTTTTAATGGTATATGACACTTACTGGTTTAAAGATGTCTGTACTTTTTTCCTTTCACTGTAGTGCCAGCAGTATTACTAAGTTTATAACTGATAATCAGGTTTTAAATTTTGTAAACTTCCTTCATTTGTGAAATATGATTTGAATAACTAGAGAAATAATAAGTCTGAGTGAGATGTGTGGGATTTAGGAAGGAGAATCTTGACCTAGGGACATTTTTCACTCCACGGATGTAAAAGTACTTACTGGTGGGCAAGTTGGGGAGAGTGACGCCAATCATTTTAGCTATGTCTCTGAAGATGCTGATCTTGAAGAGAAATGGAGAATGCAAAGGAGAGAGAACTACACAAATGTAGAGAACTACAGAGAATCCCAAAGAGTTGTGGTTTTCTCAGAATAAAATGTTTGCTAAGGAAACATAAAATAAATATTCAACATTTGGCTTGATCCCAGGAACTAAGGGACCCATATCTTTGTATGTGCCATTTTACTCTTCCTATAAATGATGATCCCTGATTTACTTTGCAACCTAGTTTCATAAACATGCAATGGATTCACCTTGATTTGTGATGCAAATGGAAGATCAGTCTGGACTAAGTAAACAGGGAGGTAAGTGAGCATACAGACCCACTCTGCTAAACTTTACATATGAACATTTCAAATCAGACCCAATAGACATTTAAGCCTGCCTATCAGAACAGGTGTTTAAAACAAGGAAAGTTCTGGGCTGGACTGTCTGCCTTAAACCATTTGGAAACTGAACTGGCTGGAGCAGATTGCAAGGTTTAGGCTGTGGGAGAATGACTCTGGTTCGTTTTCAGCCTAAACCAATTATCCAGCTGTTGGAAAGTTGAAATATTAGACCAAATTATATTACCTGAGTTAAAATAAGCACCACTGAGAATAGATCACTATATATATTAAGGTGCATCTATTTTGCAAGAGCTGACATTTCTATTTCTGTATCTTATGAGCTAACCTTGGAATCTTCATTGAAAATAAATTTGTTGTTAGCATGTTTTTGGCTATTTGTTCTCATTGGTTGATTTATACACTATTGGCACATTCGTAGAGCTATTGCCTTCAAAGACTGGAACTTCCAGAAACATCCTTGACAAATCCATTAATAGAAACAGCAAAGCACTTAAAAACAAGAGGTATTTTCTTTGTAACAACTGTGGAGTTTGACCTAAAGCCGCAATGTGCTTTTTTGAAAAAGCCACTTATTCACACATGGTCTTATTTGATCCATATAACATCCCTGTAAAGTACACAGGGCACATATATTTTAGTATCTCCAGTTGAAAAATAAAGCCTTAGCAATAAATGACTTGCCCAAAACCATACAATTAGCAAGTGGCAGAACAAAGACTTGCTCTCCATGCTTTGTATTCCAATTCCAGAGCGCTCTTTGTTGATACACAAATTAGATATAAACATAAAGAAATTACAATAGATAATTAGAATCATACCCAATTAATCTAATCTGTAAAATTTAAGCCATTATTTAAGATATAAACCTAGAAGACTGAAAACGTATGACTGAACACATATTTATTGCATTGTATTACAAATTCATCTTTCATTGCTACTCTCAGGGTACTGGACTGGTGACAGATTTTTATACTTAGTCTGTCCATAAATATTTACTGACCACTATTCTGTGTAGGAATTTTGAGTTGGGTATTTTTTATTAAAATTGACTTGTAGAGTTGAGTGAGTATCCAGCATTCCATAGCAAGTTATACTGAATTTTGTTGCCTACTTTTCCATTTTTCCTGGGTAAAGAAGGGAAAACCTGAAGGCTTGGTAAGACATTTCTCTCTGCTTTTCAAACCTCTGTTAAGAAGTCATATTCTCTCATTTACAAAATAGTTATCACTTATTAGCCATCTACAATAAGTTAGGTATTCACATAAATCACCGGTAACCTTCACATCTCCTGGTGGGTATAGCTGTCTTCATTTTACATGCAGTTAGCGTAGCATAGCAGTGAAACAAGATGAGATAGTAGCCTTGGATCAAGAGCAGGACCTTCAATCAAAACTACTAGGATTAAAATCAGGCTTCATACATACCAGCTGTCTGAACTTGGACTGGTTACTTTATTTCTCTGTTCTTCACTCATTTCTAAAATGGAATAAAATTACATGAAATTACATGAAGTCATAGAGTTATTGTGAGTGTTAAATGAATTAGCACCTGTAACTCGCTTACAGTGCCTGGGCTTCTAGTGCTACCCAATGAATGCTACCTATATTATTAATTGTGTACCCCAGGTCTGAATCTCACCGCCTTTTTTCTTCTTTATATCTCTGCTACTCCCTAGGTGGCCTTACTTAATCCTCTGGTCTTAAATATAAAATTATACCCATGATTCCAAAACTTGTTTCTCCTGCCAAACTGGTACTTTTCAATTGTCAGCCAACTCATGTCACTTCTCTCCATCAAAACCCTCCAGTGACTTCCTGTCTCTCTCAGTGAAAAAAACAAAGCCCCAGCCAGGGCCTCTGTGGCCCCATAAATTTGTCCTACTTTTCTGATCTGCCCCCCACCACTTTCCACTTCCTTTCTTTTCTGCTGAACACTCCCAAGCATTTGTGCTCCTAAGACCTTACATTTGCTCTTCTGCCAGGTGTGCTCTTCCCCTGATATTCAAATGATACATTCTTTCACTTCCTTCAGGTCCCTGCTCAAATACCATTAGAGAGGCCATCCCTGACCACCTAAAATAAGGGAGGATTTCCCCTTCCTTTTCTTCTTATCCTGCTTTATTTTTCATTATGGTATCTATTACCATTATGTTTATTCATTTTTTTATGGCCTCTTTTCCCCTCTGAATGTGAGCTGTATTAAAGCAGGGACGTTGTTTTGTTCATAGCCCCCAAGTCAAGTACCTGGAACATGGCAGACACTCAATAAATATTTATTGCTTAACTGTAATTATGTTAATTGCCTAGTTAGAGTCAGAGTTTCATACACATGTCAGCCTCCCTTTAACATCTCTTGCTCTTTCTACCCCCCTAATCTGCATCCCATGTCAAGGTAGATGCAAACCTCATTTATAAATATACATCAATTCTTAGGTGTAATTAAAGTAGAAATTTTATGCACATTAGGGTTGATTTGCTATTCAGTGTAATTTAACAAACATTTACTGTATACCTACTACATACTCTTCAATAAGAAACAATGACCAGCCTGCTAATGTAGGGTAGCAGTTTATCCAAGAATCTTGAAGCAAGAAAGGTAAATATTTGTACTTGTGGATCTCTAAGTTCAGAATTATTATGTACACCTAAAACTAATACAATGTTATATGTCAATTGTATCTCAATTTTTTTAAAAGTCTTTAAAAAAAGAATTATTAGGTTTATCTGCTACATCACAAAAGAACACTTGGCCATCCCTCCAACTTCCTCTCCCCACCTTCCTCAGTCTCAGTTAGTCCACTCATTTGCTTAAGCCACATTTCTAGCCAATTTCCTAGATTTCTCTTTCCCTCATCCACATTCAGCTCTTCTGCAAAGCCCATAATCTCTATCGGCAAAACTTAGCCTGAGCTCATCTGCTGCTCACCAGCTTCACTTCCACAAATCCTAGTCTGGGACAACTCCACTTGCCTAAGTATGCAACCAGCAGAATCTCCTAAATGTTTTCCTTGCCTTCCCATTTTCCACCTAGCAGCCAGAGTGAGCTTATAAAAATGTGAATTACTTATCACTCCCCTTTGTAAAAGCATCAGTGGTTTCCTTTTGTTATTCCTCTCTAAGTTATCCCAATCAGAAAAATATCCAAACCTACCCTCGACTCCAAACCTACTTGATTTGGTCCTGATGACTAGTCCATTCTTCTCACCTAGCATTTCCCCACTTATACACTACACTGGCCACCTTTCACTTTTATAAAGTGAAAGTATCATAGTAATAATTATTATGAAACAATGAAAATAAACCCTTCCCTGTCCCAAAATAGTTGTTCTAGCAACTCCTTGTCATTTAGGTCTCAGTTTAAATTTCACCTCCCCAGAAAGGCTCTCCCTAACTTTCCCATTTATAGTAGTCCCCTCTCTTTCACTCACCCTTTGTTCAGACATAGGGTGAATTTGCATTCAATCTTTGTGGACTGCACAAGTGCCATCTAATATTTTCCTTCTCTGTTTATAATCTATTTTCCTGCAGCACAATGTAAAACTTGATGAAGACAGGGAATTTGCTTTCTCAGTAGGATTTATAACAGAGCCTAACACATAGTGAGCACTCAAGAAACACATTGAATGGGTAAATCTTTGTCTCACCTTTGATAGCTTATGTAAAATCACAATAGTTTTCTAACACAGTTTCAGTAACTCTGCCCCATCCGTGTTCTCCCAGTCTGATAGCATTGCTTCAACGTTCAATGCTGGTCAAAGGACCAATATACTAGGGAAAGATTCAGGTTCTCCAGATTTTTTGGCAACACTAGGTCAAGATCTGGACCGAGTTCAGTTGTTCAAAATCATCACATAAAGAGAAAAATTTTAAGGAAGGGAGAAAGAAAGTAATTCTTAAGATCACACATTTTTGTTGGAAATGTTAGATAAAGTAGCGGTAGACGGAAAAATGTTAGAGTGAGGGAGGAAAACTAAAATCAGGAGGTAAGAGAGAGAGCTCACACCAGGCTTTATAAGTATTCATAGTTCTGGGCTTGGGTACCATGTCTCTGCCTTGTAGATCAACACTAAGAAAGGGAGTGTGATGGAGTGAGGTGGGGTGGGGGCGAGAGAAAGGGAAGGGTGGGGAACCAGATCGAGAGTCGCGAAAGAAACTAAAAAGAGACGAGAAGGGCAGAGCAGAGCCATACAAAGGCAGCCCCAGATATTGCCGGAGCTGCAAGCGTTAAAGAGAGGCGGGGAGTGACGCGGTTTGCGTCTGGAGCGGCTCCTTGGAGTCCACAGCATCCACCGCCGGAGCCTCGCCTTCTTTTCTCCCTCTGCAGACATATCGAGACACAAAAAGAGAGGCGACTCCTGGTCCAGAGCGGGAGACCCACCCACACCATGACTGAGACCACCAAAACCCACGTTATTTTGCTTGCCTGCGGCAGCTTTAATCCCATCACCAAAGGGCACATTCAGATGTTCGGTGAGTCCTCCCGCCCACCCCCGGTGGCTGCTTCCTCCTTTCTCCTTTCCCTGGCACCTGTGTTTACCAGGGCGACTCAACGGTGAGGCGTGTGGCCCTGCGGAAGGGTACGCCAGCTGATCCCGCTGATGGGAGGTCAGCCCCTCTCTTCCCGGGTCCCGGGAAGGGACGCAGACTGCGCTTCAGAGGCGTCACTTGCTCCGGCCAGACCATGATCGCAAGGGGCCAGGAGGTGGGGGAGGGGAGGGGTCCGAGGTGAGCGCTGGTTTGGGCTGGGTGGACGGTCGAGGTTCTGGAACTGGGGTGAGGTGTGCGGTAGTTTGGCTACTTGGCTGATGAGAATCGCGATGGGGGCAGAGGCTGGGGAGCGGATTAGACGAGGCGTGGAGATAACGTGCTGTTTGTTTAGGATGGGCTGGAAGCTCAAAGGAGTTAAATGGTGTACATGTCTCGGAGACACAAAACACATTCACACACTGCATGCACACCGGTGAAGGGGTTGGGGCATCAGTGAGATTGATTTAGGGTTTGGCTGATGGTTCCTGGCGGCTCAGGGCGAACGTTCGAGGTGCACGACTGAGTGAATGGGGTGGGGGGCGCTGGCCGGCCTGGACTTGGCTGCCGGGACCCGCTGCCCAGGAGGGGGAGGGGCGGGGAGGCTGCTGCAGGCTCTTCGCTAGCTGGTGTTGATGGATCGCGGCCCAAGTTGGCTGAGGCTCTCTCTGCCCAGGGCGGCGATGACACCCGGAAGGCTTGCGGTGTGCGAGTATGTGTGTGTGAGTGTGTGTGAGTTGGAGCGGCGGAGGTACATCAACGCGCGTTTGTTTCTTGGAGGCGTTTGGGCATGGAGAGAGAGAGGGAGAACGTGGGGGCTTCTGGCTGCTGGTTTGGGATTCCGCAGGGGAAAGGGAAAGGTGATCGATGCCTGTCGGAGATCTCGAGCCGCCGGTGGGTGAGCGAAGCGGCTTCGCTCACGCTCTTGTAGGACCCAAAGGCGCGGGGGCGTGCGCGTTTAGACTGAGGGAGGGACACGGAGGTCACTCGAGAAGCAGGACTGAGGAGAGACTGGAAGTTGGGGGTGTATTTTTCTGGCATTGAGGGAAACAAGGAGGAGAGCTCGTAGGCTGGCGATGGATGACACCGGTAGGAGGCCTTGACCCGGCAGGCCAGCCAAGCGCTGTCCAGAGGCGGCGGTGCTGAAACGCAGGGCGCACAGGCACTCGCTCTGGGCACACGTGTTTACTCCGAGCCTGAGGATTGCGTGAGCCTTACTAGGGCTGTTCGGTGAAAGCCACATCACATCGGTAACGACTGCGCGAGATGGCTTAGACTAAAAATAATCCTCCTAACCTAAAAGGTGCATTAAACTGGGCCTGCTTATTAAAAACCTCACGAAAAGAATATAGACTACTTTGAGTAGACGGTGCATCAGGACACATTTATAGGATACAAGAGGGAGACTGAGAGGTAATGCTTCCCTTTCTCACCCTCCGTTCAGCTTTTAAAAATATTTTATTAGGAGCTAATGCGAACTTACCTATTAAATAAGAACTTTTGTCCAAGCATTAAGCAGACAAGAGCATCTCATTAGTCTTCTAAAGGAGTATCTGTGCCCTGGGAACACTACTTTCATCTTTCTTTGGATTCTGCTGTCTTCATCCCTGTCCTTCTTTTTCTCTGCCCTTATTTCCTCTAGCCATTTTATGTTGATGTACGTTATTCCCCTCAGGCAGGGATGGACTCTCCTCTGGAAATCCTTGGCTCTGGGAATCTTTAGTGAGCCAGCAGGTACTGCTCCTTTCTTTCTGGGACTAAGGGTGTAGTTAATTCCACTTGTTTTGGATTGAAAGAGGGATAGATTTAGATTGAGAACCAAGGAGTCTATTTTGCAGCTGCAGAAAGTTTGGTAACAGTAAAAAAGGCTTTTGTTGAGTTGATGCTGACCTGCCAGTTCTCCCTGAGCTTAGAGATAGCATATATGTAAATAGGCATGGATTATAGCAGGGAGGTTTAGACATGAAATAGGTGCAAAGAAACTGTTTGACAAAGGCCTACTTGCTTGATATTGGAGCTGAAGAAAAAGACTATCTTTCAACAAAGCCTTTTGAGTCCATTGTTACATGTAATCCAGAAAGCAGTATGGAAAGAGGATCCTGTGTGCTCCCTGTGGCTTTAAGGAGCTTATAACTTAATGATGAATTTAGCACATGTACATATGAAAAGGAAACAAGAACAAGAACACAAAATACATATTAAACTATTTTTTTGTAGAATCTTTTGTGGGAATGTCTTAACTCATGATAAATTTTGTAATTTATTTTTGTAGAATAGTTTCTGGTTTACCAATCCTTGTCATATATATTATATCACTGGTTCCTAATTATGAGTTTACATGAAAGGCATCCTTCTCTTCATTTTACACATGAGAAACCCATGTTCAGAGGCTAAGCAACTTTCCTACATGGGTTAAGTGAAATAGAGAGTGGGTGGCAGAGCTGAGACTTGAACCCCACATTCCTGAATCCTCCTGTAAAGCTCTTTGAACTATACCAAAGGCAGGAAGAAGTGCTCACTAATCTTCTGACTGCATAATTCTATGAACTCTTATTTCCTTCAGACATATACCAGCAGATTGAAATTAAAATGGCCATCAGCTAAATGAGACTCCTAAATATTTCCGTAAGAGCTTTTCTTCCATCCCTATAGGAACTGGCTATCCATGAACTATTTTCTCCTTTTAAATGGCTTTAAAGGTTTTCTCCCTAACAATACAGAAATGATTAATGCAATAAAATATTGCACTTTCTTTGAGGTCCCTGAAATTTGTAATAGAAATTTTTTTTTAAGACCCAAGCAGAACTTTCAAATCAGGCACCTTTAATAAAGCTCTTGTATTTTGAAATCCAATTGCTTGCCAAAGAAAAAAGAGAAGACTATAAAAAAAAAAGAGAAATGGCCTTCTGAACTAAAAATTCTTCATCTCTGTAATGTAGTACTTGTAGAGTTCTCAATATTTGTAAAATGTTTATAATTAGCTTTTCCCTTTTCAAAGGGAGTTAATATTATTCCTATTTGTGGCTGTAGAAACATCAAAAATTGATATTTGTGATAGAGATATTTGACAACTATATACTTAACTGTAACTAAAGTGTTTTCAGGGATGAATACATGAACTAATGATGTTCTATTTCCTGGGTTTTCCTTATTACAAAAGATCACGTGATGCTAGAATTTTTTAAAAATATCATTAATATACAATCTTATGATGGTTTCACATAAACAACGCAGTGTTTTCAACATTCACGCATATTGTCGAGTCCTCAGCCCCTCCACTGAGGTCACTGTCTATTCGTGTAGTAAGATACTATAGAGTCATTACTTGTCTGCTAGAAGCTTTTTGTTTCTTAGTTATTAGATTTGTAAAGATTATATTTCAGTATAACTTTCTTTGCACTTATATTGCTATGTCTGTCAGTAAATCCACCACTGGGAAAATCACAGAACAAATTTAAATAGAAAAGTAAGAAAGAACTGATCAAATTAGTTTCTCCATAAAACATGAAGGAATTGAGGGAATCGATCACAATGAAGTATATCCTTTCTGCAAGAAAGATATTGAAATTCATTAACATTATGAAAATAAGATCTAAAAGGGTTTGCTGGATTTTTTAGAAGTACAAAATGGGGAAAAAAAAAAAAACAAGGCCCAAAAGTAGACTCTTTTTTAATGTTGAGGCTGTGAATTTGGTAATAGTTAATATAGTTCAAAAGACCATTCCAGAATTTGCCTGTCACAATGAGGATGGCTATATATTATTATATAATATGAATGCTTGGGAATTCTAACTCACTGGTAATTTAAAGGTCCACTAATGGAAACTCATGTATCAATTATGGCAGTTTCATTGGCAGGAGCTGTGTTTGCTCATAACACATGAATAATGACTGAAAAAGAAAATTTAGACATTTTTGCTCACACGAACAGGTGGCTTGGTTTACTTTCTCCTGCTGAATTGATTGACACAATCAATCAAGCCTCAGGTGGACACAAGCTATGAGGGGTAGATCTGCCATCTAGTATTCATCCCAAACCAAACAAAAGGATATAACCAAGAAGGTTGATGTTCTAAGAATGTTGAAATAAGGGTTCATTTCAGGTTTTCTTCTTTTTTTTTTGTTTTATTTGATTTTACTTTATGTTTCTAAGTCTTTATGCTTAGAACTGTCAGCATTAGGAAGTTCATATGCCTCTTAGGAAATAATTGAGCTATTGCTTAGTAGGAACATCCTTTAAAAAATGTTATGAATCTCAAGAGTAACATTTCTACAGTTTTCCAATGTTAGACCAAGTCAAGTGACCAGCCTAAAGTTTGGAGGCAAACTAAAAAACATAACCTGCCAACTCTCAAGTTTGGAACTCTGTTAGAAATTGCCTCAACATGACAAGAAAATGCAAAACTAGATGGATAATCTATATTTCCCATTATTTATCTATTTATAGGTGATAACTTTGAAAGTAGTCTATGCGTGACTGGGAAAGAGAATGAAAACTCAGTTTTGAAAATGCTTCTTTAGAAAGATTCAAGTCTAAATTTATAAAGTCATTGTCCTCTCAGCCATCAATACAGTGTTCTGTATGCAGTACTTGCTTAATCAATGCTTAATGATACCATAAAATACACAGTTTCTAATAGTGGTCCCATTCATTTTTTTAATTGAAGTATCATTGATATACAATCTTATGTTGGTTTCAATTATACAATACAGTGTTTCAACAGTTACCCATATTATTAAATCCTCACCCCCTCTAGTGCAGTCACTATCACTCAACATAGTAAGATATTACAGGATCATTAACTGTATTCTCTGTGCTATACTACCATCCCCATGGAGGTCTCATTCATTTTCAAAAAGTTTTCAAATCATCCTGAATGTCTCAAAAAGATCCTAAGGACACAAAGGAATGCATTAAATATTTTTTCAACACTAGATTTTTGAAA